GCGAGAAGTTGCCACTTGCTGCTCTTTCCGGGCTGCTTCAGGATACGTCTCGGTTTGGAAGGGGTTTCCCCCCCCCACCTCCTAATCTGCTCACAAATTTGAGGCGAGAAGGAGCCCGAGTCAGGCTGCCGGACTCGGGCTCAAAAACAAAACAGAACTAGAAATTGGAGGGCCGGGAAGCTGACCCAAAGCAAATGCTCTTCTGAGACTCAAATGAGGGTTTTGGAATCTAGGACGGTCTCTTCATCCCAGCGAGGGTAGGAGATGAGACAGCTAAACCTTGCAAAGTTCCCCTCTCCCCCCCCCTTTCGCCCTCATACCCGTGGCACTTTATGGAAAATAGGCGGCAATTCCCCTTATCTCTTCAATTTTGCTTATTCTTGATTGGCATTAACTGGGCAGCTCACACCTTAGGATAACTTGCCTCGTTTTAAAAAGAACAAGCGCTTGGGACTTTAACGTGATCTTCGCTTTCGTTTGCGCTGTCCAGGTGTGCGTCTCAGTGTGTGTAGCTTCGTGGGTATCCTTTCAGGTTTTCCTCTCCTCCCTCCCCCCAAACCCTGCTTAGGGGGTCTCATGTTGCAGCAGTGAGCGAACCTAGTAAACATCTGGGGTTGCATCAATTCACCCAGAGCTCACACACATCTTTGGGTTGTTCTTGTTTTTTTAAGAAGTCATATACAGTAGATATATAGATACACTAGCTTGTGCGTAGATGTATGTGATATTTCTAGTGCTTCTCTTCATTGTCCATGATGGGGGAATGTAACTGAGCCACATCTTTTTTTGCTTACATAATCTCATGTAAAGCAACTTTGATAAATCATGGCCAGTTTCATTATGATTTTAAATGACGCTTTCCTGCTGAAAATAAATAGCTGTTTGGATGATATATCTCCCCTCTAGACGACTGTTTGGAAAACTGCTTTACTGTATCTTAATGTTAGTGGTGTTTGTGTATGTTGCATTTGAATATAGCTATTTATTTCTTATTTTATATGGACTGTCTCCTTCTGAGTGTTTTAGCTTCATTTACTTGGGATTTGCTTCTTTTCTTCTAGTCATGGTGAACGATTACAACAAGAACATGGCACAAAGTTAGTTTCAAGGCTGAGAGGGGATGTACATATCTTTTGTAGCAGTCACTCTGTCAACTACATTACATTGAGTGGAACCTATAGTTTATAAGTGGTACCTGTTCGACACATATAGGCTTTGCACCCTACCCATCCTCGTCATCTGAAGTGAAGTACCATGATGTGCCAGTATTTTACGGAGAAGGGGGTTTGTAAGTTGACGGGGCTTCTTTGAACAGCAGGCAGTACACCCCGTGTGGAAATGTGGATGATGTTATATAAAGTGCAGTATGATACACACTCATTTATTTGTTAGGGCCAGCAAGGCACTTCAACACATATAATTCCTTTTCTGTAGTTACCCCCAGAATTATTTCTTGTGCTTGATTCTCTGACTTCTTTCATTTGTAAATCACACATGTAAATACATGTCGTAGGGAATGTTCAGGCTCTTATCAACCAGCTATATGGTAAGCTATATACATTCTTTACTGCATGTTTCATGAAGAAGCAGTACCAGAAACCATAGGACAGAAGAGTGACAGGAGTCTGCTTGATATGGAGTCAGACTCTTGGTGAACCTGGTATAGTAACATTAACTTAGTACAGTATTGACTGACATCCCTACTTGGAGGTGCCAGTGACTGAATCTGAAGACCTAAGCTTCTGGGGACCGCTTTGTTGGCAGAAGCCAGTGGCCAAAAAAAATCATATCAGCAGTTTATGCTTTCATAAGGGAAATCACATAGGTCTTTGGGGCAAATTGCTTCTCATTAGCAAGGTGCTGGTTGGATTCCTGAGTGTGCATTTGATCACGCAATGAGGTACATGTTCAGGAATGCAACCAGCACCTTGGTAATAAACTGCAGTCTGCCACCAGGACTTGTATAAGTTTCCTTATGCAAGCATAAGTTGGCAGTAGGGTCTCCTTTATGGATGTTTTATTTATCCATTTGTTGCATTTATATCTTGCTTTTCTTCTAGTGACTTAAGCAGTGTACATGGCTGTCCTCCTCCCCATTCCCCAGACCTTGCAAGTTTGGTCTGGCTGAGCATGACAGTTCCAGAGCCTCCCAGTGGCTCAAGGGAGATTGAAGCCCTTGACAGAAGGATCCAGACAAACTGGAACAAGTTCAGAGGAGAATAAGGATGATCAAGCCCTATGAGGAAAGACTGAAAGAACTGGGCACATTTAGCCTTGAGAAAAGAACACTGAGAGGAGATACATTAACACTTTTCAAATACTTGGAAGACTGCCATACAGAGGAAGGGCGGGATCTGTTCCTGATCATCCCAGAGTGCAGGCTCAAGTTGCAGGAATTCAGGTTTTGACCCACTATCAGGAAAGACTTCCTAACTGTTAGAGCAGTATAACAATAGAACCAATTACTTCAGGTGGTTGTGAGCAGACCTGCCAGGCCAATCATTAGGTAAAGCGAGATGGGTGCTTGAGGCAGCAGATTCTGCAATGATGGGGTTGCAAATATAAAAGGCATTGATAGTGGTGGTAATGATGATAACATGGTATCCCTTTATTAGGGTTGTCCCTGGACATTTTGATGGTTTGAGAAAAAGTCTAGCTGGTACACACTAATTGCAGCAAGCCAGATTTAAGTACCAGTGACAACACAGCATCTTCTACCTCATCTCAGGAGACTACACTGGATTAAAGGGCAGTAGGGAAGCCTACCTGTAACGATGAGTTTCATCTTTCAACAAGGGAAACATTTGAGGGACTGAATGTGTGCCACCTGCCACCTGAAGTGGCTACCTGACCTTATCTAATGGTGTGACTATAATTGTCCTTCCATACCCACCCTGTCTGATAGTAGGGCTGGGATCACCCTTCTGTCGCCACTGCCATATACAGTGCTGGCAGCAGGATGTTAGGGGCTTTCAAGCATATCAGCCTCAGTGACTATCTGAGTGGTTTGCAAAATCAGAATTTTCTTATGCTGCCTCTGATCAGATAACCCCCTTTCTCATGTGTCTTTCTTGTGCAGTGGAGCCTTCTATGTAAAAGCACTGTCTGCTGTTTCACACCAATGTCATTGTGACATCTAGAAGTCATATTTGCTTCCCCAGACATGTTCACAGAGCTGGTATATGAACACAGCAGTCGTATCATCAAGTAGACTTCTCATACACCTTGGTCAGCTGGCGTGGAACATCTCAAAAATGGCAGGAAATTGATTGTTATTTAATGTTTTGTACTTTTACTACCACCAAGGAAGAGAGAGTTACATATTGTGAGCTGCTTCCTCTGGTGATCTTCTTCGGATACTTGACATTTTGACAGGAGACGTGGGAGGCACCCAGATAACAATGTCTTACACCATCCTTGAGCAGTCCTTGCTTCTTGGCCATGGTGGTGGGCACTGTGCAAAGCCAGGGCTCAGAAAAGTTATCTATTTTGGACCACAACTCCCACATTCTCTGCTATGCATGCTGAATATTTAATATCTATCCATGTACATGAAATTTATCTGAAATAGACCTTTGAAAAACCCTGGCCCTTTCTTTAAACATTTTCAACAAACTGGGCTCTTCTGCATGGGAGGTTCATGATCAGAGCAAGTGCCTTATCTGGGTGCCCCATCCAGAATTTTTGGGAGGAAGCGATATACCTTTTCAACTCACAGCAGAACATGTCCCTGCTTTTGTAGTTATGGAAACTGCTACCCTTGGGGGTTCTTCGTCGTCGTCGTCTTCTTCTAGTGGTAAATGTCGTGTTTCTCCATAAGCGTGCAACTCAGAAATCCATAAGCGTGCAACTCAGGCAGCATTTCATATCCATATTACCAAGCCAATTCTAGCAGTTTTTGTCTTCTCCAAAAAAATTTATTCTGTAAAGGTAATGGATCTTAATTGCCTATTCAGGCTCAACTCCAAAATGTTTTGCATGACACACAAGAAACAGCTCACAACAGTATCTTGTTGGTAGGGAATATCCATTTACCCACCAAGTAATGTGAGTACTGCAGCTAAAATCAAGAGAAACAGGGAAGCCTCCTTTATCTATATCTCCATGACACTGCTGCTTCTCAGCAATTAGACATGATAGCTAAACAAAACCTCCAGGTATTGGGGACGAATATGCTGGAGGAAGAAGTTGCTTGGCTTGTAAGCTTTCCAGGGAGAGACTGATTAGCTATGGCTTTGGGGGGAAAGTGTTGGACTAAGTAGGAGTTTAGTCTTATCTAATAAGGCTTTTCTTATATTGTTATTCTCCATTATTTTTCATAGATTACCTTTGGATAGGTAAGCTTTATAAATCTTAGAAATAAATATAACAATTAAATGACTTGTTTTACAGCTAACAAATAAGCACA